CTCCCTCCTCCTCCCTCCTCCCTCCTCCCTCCTCCTGTTCTTCTTCTTCCTCTTCCTCTTCCTCCTCCTCCTCCTCTTCCTCTTCCTCTTTCATCTCCCCTTTTTTCTCCTCCTCCTTCTTCGCTTTTTCTTCTTCCTCCCCCTCCTCCTCTTTTTCTTCTTCTTCTCCTCCTCCTTTCTCCGTTTCTTCCTCTTCCTCCTCCCTCCCTCCTCCTCTTCCTCCTCTTCTTCTTTCTTCTCCTTTTTCATCTACGTCTTCTTCTTTTCCTCTTCCTCCTCCTCTTCCTTTTTTCCTCTTTCATCTCCCCCTTTTTTCTCCTCCTTCGATTTTTCCTCTTCCTCCCCCTCCTCCTCTTTTTCTCCTCCTCCTCCTCCTTTCTCCGCTTTTTCCTCTGCCTCCTCCCTCCCTTCTCCTCTTCCTTCTCTCCTTCTTCCTTCTCCTTTTTCATCTTCGTCTTCTTCTTTTTCTCTTCCTCCTCCTCTTCCTTTCTTCCTCTTTCATCTCCCCTTTTTTCTCCTCCACCCTCTTTGCTTTTTCTTCTTCCTCTTCCCTCCCTCCTCCTCTTCCTTCTCCTTTTTCATCTTCATCTTCTTTTTCTCTTCCTCCTCTCCTCTTCCCCCCTCCTCCTCCTCTGTGCATTGGCAGTGTTCTGTCTCCAAGAATTACCCTGAGAGCATTTTGCACCCTGAAAGGCAATTTGAAAACACCCATGAGTCATTTTTTTTGTAAGCAGCATTTACCTGGCACAGATTAGGAGCCTGGCGTTTGTTTTTCGTGTCCCTGTCCTCAATCCAAAGCTGCCTTTTTCCCGAAAAAAATCGGTGCAGGCAGGCATGTCTCGTTCCACTTCTGAACCACCGAAGCCCGAATGTCCTGTAATTGCCTTGTTGACACTGCTAAAAATAGAAAGAGTTCTGACGGCGGCTGTAATAGCCGCACACCAAATTTTTAATCAGGGCGCGATCTCAAGAAAAAGACTAAGCTAAGCATGACCACGGTGGCGGGATCCATTGGGATCTGGGAAGATCCCCCTCCTGCTGTTTCCTAGCTGGTGAATCTATCTACTACTGTGGCCAGGGGAACCTTGAGGTGGGCAGACGCCTTCAATTGTGAAGACCGTGGCTCTGGAGCTGCATGTGGCTCTTTAATTCTTCTGCTGAGGCTCCCTGTCACCGGTCAGTTCCACAATTGATAGGGCTTTCAGTCTACAAAAGAAGGCTCTTTCTCCATAGTAAAACTTTCCCTGAGCAAGACATGTTTAGATCCGCTGAGCCTACTATTGTCCAGCGGTCAGCAATCTGCGGCTCTGGAGCTGCATGTGGCTCTTTCATCCCTCTGCTGTGGCTCCCTGTTGCCAGTCGGCTCCACAATTTTGAGAGGAGCTTCCAGTTTGGGGCATAGGAGGGGGGGGGGAAGCAGGGCACACCAGTAGGAGACTCTATGGCAAGAGGTGGGTTTTCCGGTCAGCTCCACAATTGATAGGGCTTTCGGTTAGGACAGGTAGAGGAAAAAGGATGCCGTGCTAGGAGGAGACTCTATGGTGGGGGAACCGGACTTCTGGTCAGCTTCAGAATTGAATGGGGGGCTTCCGGTTAGGACCTTTGTGGCTCTTTTGAGTATTTAAGGCTGCCGACCACTGGCTTGGGTCAACGCAGTAGCGTGAGGCTGAGAAATCAAATCACCTTTACTTAAAACGGTGACTTAAGCCTAATGTTTGAATCAGATTACAGGTATGGCGTTTCCAAAGGAATCTCTTCCTCTCCTTTCGGAAACTGCTTTTGTGTCTCTAGGTTAATCCTCTTGTGAAACAAACCCACGGGCCTCCTTCACGGCAACTTTTTAAATATCTCTTGGGGTTGTCAGTGCAATGTTCTCGCCTGGAATTGAGGAGACGCTTCCTAACCGTCAGAATGATGAGCCAGTGGCGCAGCTTGAAACCGTCATAAATATGAGTCGAGAGTTGCCCCACAATATTTGATTAGCCTCAGGTTGTGGGAACTAACTTAGATTTCCATTGGGTTTAAACCTGATAAAAGAGAATATCTGTAGCTCGGGGTGGCACTGTGGGGTCCTTGGTGCTCTCTGAGCTTGGTGGTTTTCTTGCAGACGTTTCATGACCCAGCTAGGTAACATCATCAGGGCTAGAAGGGAGTGGGATTTGTGGAATGGAGGAGGAGGGGGAGGACAGTGGGGTCCTTGGTGCTCTCTGAACTTGGTGGTTTTCTTGCAGACATTTCATGACCCAACTAGGTGACAGTGCAAGAAGGGAAAGGAGGAGGAGGAGGAGGAGGAGGACCGTGAGGTTCATGGTGCTCTCTGAGCTTGGTGTTTTTTTCACAGATGTTTCCTTACTCAACTAGGTGACATCATCAGTGCTGGAAGGGAGTGGGGTTTTTTCTCNCTGCAGGACTGTAGCTTTCTTGCTTGTATCCTTACGATTTAAATTGATTGTTTCCTGATTGCTTATTTGTACCCTATGACAATCATTAAGTGTTGTGTTGTACTGAATGATTCTTAGCCACTGAGCCACCGTGTCTCTAGAAATAGTTGGGCTACGGTCCATTAAATATGTACCAATTTGACAACAGCACATTCAAGTTCACATTTGAAGCTTTGCTAAGTGGTTTTTCTGTGGGGGGAAAAAAAATGCTCTTAAGCATCCTGGCCGGAACAAACAATGAATCAGAATGGGTGTCTGCAGAATGATTGTTGCAGCTGATAGCTTATCACCCCTGAAACATCTTGTTTCTTTAACTGCCCCCCTGCAAAATGCAATCCTGTTTAATGCTGGGTTGATTAATGCTGCCTTTTTCATGCTCCCCCTCTTAGGCCTGGCGCAAATGGGCGGTAACCACTTGCTTTGATGGAATTCCAAAATGTGATCTTAAAACGTAGCTCGAGTAGCTGATTTTGGGCCGCCGTGATTCCCCTTCGGTTTTTCAGGATAGAAGGCTGATGGTTGCAATTTAGTCTGTTTTGATTAAGATGATTCGGAATATTGTTGTAGTGGGGAGGAGGGGGGAGGAAAAGAGAGATATGGAGGACAAGAAGGAGGGGAAAGAGAAGGAGGAGAAGGAGAAGAAGATCGATGAGGAGGAGAAGGAGAAGAGGAAGGGGAAAGGGAAGGAGAAGATAGATAAGGAGAAGAAGGGGAAGGAGAAGATAGATAAGGAGGACAAGGAGGAAGAGGAGGAGGAGAAATGAGGAGGAGGAAGAAGGAGGAAGAGGAAGAGAGGAGGAGAAGAAGAAATGAGGAGGATGAAGAATGAGGAAGAGAAGGAGGAGGGGAAGGAGAAGAAGGAGAAGAAGGAGAAGAAGATAGATAAGGAGGAGGAGAGAAGGGGAAGGAGTAGATAGATAGGAGAAGGGGAAGGTAGATAAGGAGGACAAGGAGGAGGAGGGGAAGGAGAAGAAGGAGAAGAAATTAGATAAGGGGGAGAAGGGGAAAGGGAAAGAGAAGATAGATAAGGAGAAGGGGAAGATAGATAAGGAGGACAAGGAGGAGGAGCATGAAGAAAGAGGAGGAGAAGGAGAGGGAGGAGGAGGAGAAGAAGAAGAAATGAGGAGGACGAAGAAGGAGGAAGAGGAGGAGGAAGAGAAGAAGAAATGAGGATGAAGAAGGAGGAAGAGAAGAAGGAGGAGGAGGAGAAAGATGAAGAAGAAGAAAAGGAGGAAGAAGAAGAAGAAGAAGAAGAAGAAGAAGAAGAAAAG